AAATCTTTTTAAACTTGGAAAAAGACCTTTTCCATTTTTTCCATACTGAAGTTCCCAGATAATTCTAAACTGGATTATTAAATATAAATAATTTCAAGCACAGGTTACAGCTTCTCTTAGGAGAAAAAAAAAATTCTAGGATTTTCTTATAAATTTTTCTTTTTCCATTAATATTTAACATCAAATCTTTGTGTCCTTTATATTAAGTACCAGGAGAGGGCAGTATGTGCTCACAGTCAGCATTCATTGGTGTTTAGTTGTGTGCTAGAATAATCAAATAAAATATGTAACAAGCTAACAGTGGGAGGGCTTGTTGCAGCTGCATAGAGCTACAGTAAAGTTAACTTCATGATTAATAATTTTAGATCTTTTCAGGGATTCTTTTCTGGTTTTCGTTTGGAGTGCTGACTGCTAAGATCTCAGCTTCCTAACATCAGCATTAAATGTCCCAGTTTTAGCCCCTTTAAAATAAGAAACCCATTCAGGGATAAGTTCCTGCTGCGTGGCTCTTTAGAAATGTCTTCTAACATCAGGAGCATGATATGCTTTTAAATATTCAGCAATGTCCTCAGAGCACCTTTAACGCACTATTTTTCCTTTCTTTCTCTAACAGATCCCCAGAGCACAGCTGCCGGGACTAATTTGGGCTAAAAAACATCACAGTTGAACGTGTGGAGCAAAGTAAGCTTTAAATAGAAACATTTATTTCTCCTTAATCACTGTCTACTCAAAAGTTTTGTTTTAATCTCATCAAAAGTCACAGATATAAGTAAACATTATATGAACAAATATATGTTGAAATCAGTTCAATAATTTTCATGATCTCTGGGCTAAAGATATTAGAAAATGCAAGAAAATACTCTGATTACTGATCATCATCAGTGGCAGCAATTCAATGAAAGCAGGTCTTCAGTTGTCTGAGATGTTTCGACTGGGAAATATATTTTTTATCTGTATAATTCCTTATTCCAACATTGATGGGAAGCAAAAGTTCTTCCTTAAGATGATTGCTGATGTCCCTCCGCCTTGGTTGTGTGAACTCATCCCTTCACCTTTTGCAGGGTCAGTAGTAAGGGCACTATCCAGGGTAGGAAAGGAACTCTGGCAGCGGCGGTTAGACGTTTCATTGGTTTGATTGATGAGGAAAGTGTTTGACATTGTTTTTGTCCAAGGGGGAGCAGGACAAATAAAGAACAAACACACAAAGAGAGGAAAAAATGGACAAGATCACATCGTTTTGTATATGAAGGAAGCCACAAAGCAAAGGTAGCAGACCTCTGATCTAACAGATGAAAGCTGGACCTTAAAGTAAATAACTGTTAAAGTAAATTCTACAGGCAGAATATGAGATTGGATCCTGTTGTCTAGCACCACCCATGAGCTCTGGACTGCTGCGAAAAATCAAGACGGCCTTCAGCCTTATATACGTCATTACATGATGGACACACTAATGGATGATGCTGGTCTAATTGGGATTACTGCCTACTGTAAGAAAACGACAAAAAACAAAAAAGTTGCACAAAAGCTGTGTAAGGTAAAAGCTCTTTGTTATAAAACCAGAAAATATGACGGTGTGTAAAGAGCATGGGTCACACAGAGTACATTTAAAGAAAGAAGGTATTTTTATTGCTCTATGAAGTGGGCTATGATTATAGATCCTGGATTGTGAGAAACCACATATCTCCTAGCTTTGACTAGGAATGTCAGTGGATAAAAAACACCACTTTGCTTTGCAGCGAACGAGGCAAAAATCACAAGGTCAAATGTCCACATGGTCTGCATGGTCCACCTTGGTTTTGAGGCTGAGTACACTGCTTCGTAGAACACCATCAGCAGTCTAATGTTGCCTAGATTTAGTAAAAAAAAGTTAATTTAGTAAAAAAAAGTTAGAAAGTTGAGTTAAAAAATTTATAAACTAAGAAAGCAAATTAAAAAAGTTATGAAGTACAAAACTGAAGTTCCTGAATATTCATTAATATACTGAAGGTTATGTTGTAGGAAAAAAAAGTGTTTCTTTCTTTCTATAAATGTTTGTCACATTTTTAACATTTGTTTTAGAAGAATTTTTTTATGACTCTTTTTGTTAATTACATTGACCTTGATTTTTATCATAAAAGTACTAATTTTACATAAGTAAAAAGGTCTGTTCTGTCCTTCAATAAGACTCGACTATAAATATTGAATTTCAAAGTATTTCATGAGTGCCCTATAAAGGGTTAAAGGTCATAACATCATGGACATAATGCAAGGTAAAAGTGATTCCCCAATGTTTTTTTAGGGGAAGTCTCTGGTTTTATAAGCTTTCTGAGAGTTTTATTATTACTTTAAAAATGACATTTTGGAAGCGCCAATAAGTACTCCTGGAAACAATGTTGATTAAAGTGTCATTAATAAGGAGCCTCCAGGGTATTAATAACACATGCATATCCTGAGTGTAATTGTAAGAACAAGCTGCAGACAGAAGGAGCTTCTTCTTATTGCTGTAAGAAGAAGCTTTAATTTCTCATGGAGAAAAATGTGCTCTGCCTCACGGTGAAAAGCTCCAGGATTTGAAATCTCCCTTTAAGGTTCTTCTGGCTGCTGCATGGGGAAATTGCAGGTCTCGGGAAGCCAGTCATTTCCAGCACTAAAGTAGAGACATTTGGGTGTTCCACTTATACAGAATTGGTCATCTTGAACTTAAAATGTATGTAGGAAAAACTTTTTCCCTTTCTGACATTTCTTGTTGAGCATGCATAAGCAATATATGTCCTTGAAACTTTGCTTACAACAGTGGGAAGGTTTCTCAAAATTTTTTTTTTTTAGATAAACAAATTTTCCCTAAAAAGAAGTCGGTTTAAGAAAATTACAAGACGGTTGCAAGTCATAAGAATGGGAACAAGTCAGCCTTTTAATTACTGTGGTGGTTGAGATTTTTTGTCCACTCCTTTTATCACTTCTTGCTCTGATCAATGTGAATAAATGAGATATAAACGAGAAACTTAAAACTTCCTGTAGAACTTAGTGAAATGATGTTGTTTCTGTCCCAGTTTTCCTTAAGCTCACATCCTAACTTTTTGTGTTTTCGATTTAGATCTGTTGTCCAAGAGATCCATTCAACTCATTCCAAACAAGTTCTGATAGCCACAGGTCACATGACCTGGAAGAAAAAACCCAGGAGGCTTTTGGGATCGCTCTCCGGTCAGACACTGTTTCTGCTGTCCTATCACTAACGTGTTTAATTTTATTTAAATATGTGACAGAGAGTTATAACTGAGTGTAGAATTTCAGTAAATCCCATTCTAAAAACATAGATACTGTAAAGGTGCTTAGAGAGATCTGTAAATCTAATTTGACTGTATGTTTCTTTTTTGCTGTGTGTTAGCATGGGCTGGATATCAACCTGAAGGGAAGTCTAAAGGCTGATGAACTGATCTGAGTCTGAGAGGGAGAGCATTGATCTGGTGTCCTGTATGCCCTGGGAACCCAACGCCAGCACAAATCAGGTGGGAAACCGAACAAATTCAGCCTGTCAACGTAAACTGATGGGCTTCACTGTCTTCTGTTATCGAGGCGTTTAGACAGACAGTCGTCCTTGGACTGAAGACGATCGCTGATAACAGGGGAGTGCTCCTCTAATCTCCGTCTGTGTGGAGCGGAAAATTTCTCATCATGACAAATTATTTTATTATTTGATGGGTATGATAACAGGAAATGCTTTTACTTATACCTACCATTTTGTTAAGGCTCTGTCTTTGAGTCTTTTTGGTGCAAGTAGTGTTTTATAAGGAATTTGCTTTGGTGGTAAAGTCTTTTACATAGAACAACATACGGCTGATATAAATACTTTTGGATATGTATGATGCAAATAGGAAAAATGGGGCAACTTTCTACAGAGGAAGAGCAAAAAAAACAAAAAACATATGAAACTGAATTGAATAGTTTAATCCTCCATTACTATAAAATTAAATGGTACTGGCATCACTTGACTGGAGCTGCAACTAATGATTATTTCTAATAGCTTTTTCGATTAGTTGACGAATCAATTATCTCCAGCGTTCCATTATTAAAAATTTCATTTCAGATTCTTGTGAAAATATTTTTGGCTCACTTATTATATTCTACTGTTAAAATGTCAAATAACAATCTGAATATATTTGAGAACAAAATGAATTTAGCTTTTAATAATGTTAACAATGATCACAGGTTTTGCACTCAGACTTGTTCTCTTTTATGACTTAATGCATCTAGCACCAACATTAAAGAGAGATGAACGATTCTAATTAACAAATATTCTCTCCATCACTGTAATTAGAAATAAAAGTAAGAAAAGAGACAATCCTGTTATGTAGTTTTGCTTTGATCTAAACCATAAATCTCCATAATAAATGAAACATTAGCACATTTACTCGGCTTAATTTCCACCGACTGCAGGAGCAGATTCAAACTAATGCCAACAACAAATATTGTGTTCATAAAAGTAAACTCATTTTAGGAAAATATAAAATATCTATCTGTGTCTGAAGAATTTTAGTTTAAACTTGAACAATAAAGCAACTGCTCCAAAAATAAGTGACTGATTTATTGCGTGTTTCCGTATTCAAGAGTCTTCACATCAAACCATTAAAGCTTTCAACTGAACCTTTCTAACTCCAGTTCCCTGAATCTCCACAGAGGGACTAATTCAACCAGGAGAGACTCAAACAGAGAAAAGTTGCAATTAGAAAATATTGATTTAATTTATACAGGTAACATCTTCATATTCTTCAAAATATTTAGATCTAAGGAAAACATCTGAATGCATCAACTCATTGAATCTCTGCAATCCCTCGGACTAAGCATGCATGTAGCGACAGTGGAGAGGAAAACTCCACTGTAACAGGAAGAAACCTCCAGCAGAACCAGGCTCAGTGTGAGCGGCCATCTACTGAGGCCGACTGGGGTTCAAGGAGACAGAAGCAGATAAAGGAATAGATTAAATAAGTTCTTTCTCTCTCAGGCCCCGGTAGAAGACTTTGATGCTGTGAATCAACATACACTTGGATGAGTAACACAGAAAAGGATTAGAGTAGTCTGATAATAGAGGGTGAGTGGGACTTAGAATGAGGGAGGGGATGGGATGGAGGTGGGTGAAAGCTCACTTGCGTGTGGGAGAGAGAAGCTGGGCCAGGAGCTAAATGAAGGGGATGTTGCAAGATGATTGGTTCCGGAGAAGGTGCGGCCCCCCGAGTTGATTGGCTGGAACTGAACGAGAAACTTCACAGGTCGTTCAGGTGAAACTGATCCTCCATGTTGAATTTACACCTAAAGTTGACATCCACAAAGCTCCTTAAATTGTTGTTTCTTTATTGAAATATGTGAGTTTACAGTTGGGTAGAGAAAATGCAAAGGAACTTAATTTGAAGTGTTGTATAGAAGTGTTCCATAGTTCTGCATCTGTCACGATTTGGTGGTGTTGGTTAGAGGACCCAAATGCAGAGACGAGTTGGTTGAGATGAATTTAAGTAATTTAATAGGTAAACAGGCTCTGAGGCAGGAGTCAAAAATCCAACAAGAATATCTTAAGAACCAGAATCTAGGAGACATCAGGGAAAAACCAAAAACTAAGA